CCCATCCGGAGAACAAAGCCAGCCGTGGTGTGGAGCCGGGTGTCAATGGCTGAAATATGTTTTCTCTGTGTGAAATGTTTTTTTTTTTTTTCTTTTGATCCCGTCTCTGCTTCTCCTTCTGAAGCAAGCACAGAGCTTTGGACTCGGAGACTGCAGGGACAACGTCTTTCTCCAGACCAAGCCACCCCTGCAGAACATTTGGGCTTGGCAACTGCGCATTCTGGCAAAAAAAACCAACACACATTGCCAGCACAATCGTCCCCAGCAGCTCTGGGGCAGAGCAACCCCATCCCGGCCGCTGGCTCTTGTCACAGCCCAGGAGCCCCTTTGTCACCACGCGGGGCTGTGCCAGCTTTGTGCAGCGCTGGGGACAGGGACAGGGCAGCGGGATGAGGGGACAGCAGGGCTGGAGCTGTCGCTTGTCCAAGCTTTCATCGGCTGGCACCTCGCCCCTCATTAGTGATAGCGCTTGGCACCAGGGCTGGGAAAAAGCAGATTAAAGCCTAAAGGATGCAAAGGACCGGTTTTAGACCAGTCAGGGTTTTCCATGCCATGTTTCTTTTTCCCCCTTTGGAAATTTGGCATGGCTTGTTTCATTGCTTTTTTTTTTCTTTTACTTTTTAATTTGAGTTTCCACCTTGTCTTTCGAACACTTCACCCTCTCTTACCCCCTTTTGCTGCAAAGCACCCCTAAACCCCACATACACCTGCAGCGCGATGCCCCACGCTGCACGGGGACCCCCCCAGGGTGTCCCACACGGGCTCCCCCAGGGCTGCGGGGAAGCAGAAAGGGGCTCGGGGTTTGGGTTCCTGCAGCACTGCCCCGGGGTTGCCCTGGCTGCGATCCCGGCTTTTACGCTGCCACTTAATCTCCAAACGATTTAGGCACGGGTTCAAGGCAATAAGCAAACAAACAAGAAGTCACCGAGGGGGCCTGCCCTGCAGCGGCAGCGCGGGGCCGTGCCAGGAGGCTGCAATGGTCTGAAAATAACTTTTCCTTCGCGTGGAAGCAGCCGCAGCCAAACTCAGTGGTGGGCCCAGGAGCCGTGCGTCGGAAAGCGGCAGCCAGAAACTCGAGGACAAACCCGGCCCTGGGTGGGTGCCGCGGGCTGGGCTCGGCTGCTGCTTCCTTCCCTCCTGGGCATCCATCCCCGACCAGGGCTGCCCCACGGAGGGGCAATTCCCAGCTGCAAAGGAGATGCTCCAGGTGCACAACCGCCCTCTTGGTTAACGCGGCACAGCGAGGAGCCCTGTGCTGTATCCCTGGGGAGCATCCCCTGCACGTCCCCCACCTCCATCTCTGCTTTGGGACCCAGCGTTGGTGTTTTCTTGCTGCAGCAGCGCTTCCCTGTCCCCTTGCCACGAGGTTAACCCATCCCGAAAGCCTCCCGTGCTGCACAAGGTGATGCTGGGCACTTCCTTCTTGCCCAGCCGTAATTTGGGACAAAAACGGACAAAACCTGGAAAAGAGGCTGGGGGAAAAGGCTGCGTTTTGTGCCCAGGAGGTGCGGTGAGGAGGATGCAGCTGCTGGGCAGCATCACCTGCAGCTGCTGCCCCAGGGCTCGTCCGCAGCCATTCCCCCTCCTGCTCCTCTCCGAATGAAGCAACAACCACGACTGCCTGGCTGGTGAGTCCTTCCTATCATTTTTTTTTTTTTTTTTAAAGAGATTTAAAGCCTATGCGAAGGAAAGCTCTCTGCTAGCAGCGGTGCACTTGTAGTACAGCCAGGGAATTCAAGTGCTGGTGCATTATTTAGGGAGAGTGCTGGGCTATAAATCTCCTTGTATAGGCACTGCGCAGGGAAGATAAACCGTGGGGCTTTGCGCACAGGGCTCGGGGCATCGCCTTGTGCACCGAGCAGTGGCGCGGTCCTTTTTGGAGCTGGAGCCCAAATCTCTGGGGCTGTGATTTGGAGCCCAGCAGGGAGCACTGCTCGTGCTGTGGGAGAACCGGGGGGAGGACAAAGCCGCTGCTGCATGCCCGGGACCCATGGTGGTGGCACCGGGTGGCTCAACCTCCCCCCTACCTACATCCTACCACTTCCCCCTATCTTTCCAGATGCCCCCAGACCCAAAGTGCAGGGGGTGACCCCCATGGGGCCGGCAGTCGCAGCCCCTCCATCACCAAAGGGGATGCCCGTGGAGATGCCTGGCACACAGGAGGCTGCGCGTTGGGCTTTAAGGGCTGGAAACGTGGGTTTGGGGCAACCATTCCCAGCCCAGGACAGCCTGTCTGGGAAAGCTCGGTAGGTGTTGTGGTGGTTTTACCCAGTACAGGTGTGTGGTGCTGTGCTGGCTCCCTCCTGGAGGACCCTTTATCCCCCACGGGATCATTAGCTCTGAGGGGTTCGTTAACTGCTCTGCTTCCTCATCGCCCCCTCCCCATGGTGCTGGAGGTCCCCGTCCAGCCACGTGTTATCGAATCCAAACCTCCAGGCTTGGGTTGGAAACTGATTTATTTATCCTGGGGCTTGGGGGTTGTTTTCCCCAAATCAAATTTTCCCAAATTTGGATCCCAAATACAAAATTTCCAGAATTCTGTGACCTAGAAAAGCTCCTTTTTGCTTTCCTTTACCCCCGAGAGTGTCCCACAGGAGAAAGGTCTGGCGGACCCAACCACCACGACCATCTGAGGTGCCCTGTGGATGCTGCACCTACACATTGGGGACACCGAGGCTGCAAGGCTGGGGTCCCCAAATGTCACTTGGCCATACCCTGGTGGGGAGTGGCACGAGAAGCTCTGGGCACTGTGGGACAATCAACCCAGTTTCCCAGCTCTGTGGGTTTTGGAGGAGAGATGGTGCTGGTGATGGAGCAACGCGACGTCAGGGCTGCAGTGTTTGGGAAGCCCAATATGGAGCAACTGGGCGGTACTGGTGTGCACTGGAGAGAGGCCTCCTGGAGCTGTTGGGGGCTTCCCTGGGGCTGGCTTGGTCCTGGGTGCTCTGCAGGGCCATGGGGATGCTCTGCGCCCCCAAATCTTGGGGGTGATGGAGAGAAGGGGGCCAGGGCATCACAAGGCCTTACCCCCCTGTGCCTCAGTTTCCCCAGCTATGGAGGCCAAGGCTCAGGGCTCGGCCCCACCAGCTCCTGCAGCTGCAGCTCCTCCACTTTCAGCCTTCAGAAGCCCAGCGGGGCACCCAGCAGGGCACGAAGGGCAGGCTTCCAGCCCTATCCCCCTTGCAGTGATGTGGGTATCAGGGTGTGAGCCTGCCCCAGTGCCCTGGTCCTGGGCAGGGGAAGGGGCTGTGGGTCCTAAATGGGACCTAAATGGGTCCTAAATGGGACCCTGCGGAGCAGAGCAGGGCCCGGGCACGCTGGCCCTGAGAGCGGCCCCGACCCCGGCCCCGTGCCCTGACCCACGGGAAAGCAGCGGCTGCCACAGCCCCCGAAACCGAAGGCACGGCCTAAAAATATCCCAGGCTGGGGTGCGAGTGGGAACTTTCTGCTCCCAGCGGGACCAGGGGCAGGGGCTGGGAGTGGGGGAGCGGCGCTTTTGGCTCCTCCAAATGGATGGGAGCCCCGAGACGGGGCCGTTCTCCTTGCTGTGGGGCCCCTGGGGGGCTCTGTTGTTGGGACGGGTTTGTTTTTCCCTTTTTATTTGCATCTCTTCAGATTTCCATGGTGTTTGTTTGCCTGTTGTTTTTCCCCCCCCGCTTGCAACCAGGCAACAACACAGCGCGGGGCTTGGCGAGCTCCCTGCCTTTGCAGGAGGGAAACTGAGGCAGGGGCTAAAGGGAAGCAGAGCCCCGTCTCCAGGCCAAGTTTTAACTTCCCCAGCTGGATGCAATTCCAGGTTTTGCCAGTTTTGCCCCAAATTCTGAGCCCAATGCATCTCCTGGCTGGCAGCCCCATGGGGACAGGGGCGATGGGGGTGGGCTGGGTGCTGACTGCCCCCCGGCACCGCGCCAGCTCCTGGCTGCATCGTGCTGGGGGATTTGCTGCAGTCCTCTGTATCCCCCGCTCCTGGGATGGGGTTATTTAAGGAGCATTTCGGCGTGCTGCCACACACCGTGACCCTAATGGGGTTGGACAAAGCGAGGAGCCTGCGGCTGGAGCTCCGGGTGAACCAACGCGCATCTCGGCTCTGCCTCGCTGCGCTAAGTCGAGGCACCCTGACACATCGTGGGGGAGCCAGCTCCAGCAGTGGCTGTTACCCAACTCCTTTTTTAATTCTGCCTCCAGCTCACTGCGATGTAAAACTTGGAGTGGCTTGAAAGCATCCTGGCCCCGCGGCCAAGCGCGCGCTGTCAGCACAGCGTGGCACATTTGGGTGAGAGGTTTGACATCACGGCCACGTTGCCACTCACGCTCGTGGCAACAGGGTTATGCAAACCTTTCCTGCCTGGTGGGGAAACTGAGGCGCGGGGATGCAGCTTTGTGCCTGGTTAGGAGCCAGCAAAAGCAACCCCAGGCCCTGCGGGGAGCGCTCGGTGCTTGATCCCGCAGTGCCAGCCCCATCCCGCCTGCAGCAATGGGCTTTTGGGCTCTTCTTTGGGCTAGCGGCCAAGGTGCCCCGTCAGCATTCTTGTCAGTACATCTCTTGCTCCTAGAGAAAGCTGCTGCAGCCAGAAAAATGAGACAGGCCCCAAAAAATCATTATTAGCCACTACCCCTGCTCTGGTTCCATCACATTTGCTCTGGGTTTGGCAGCGGTCGCTTAGCAGAAGCTGTCACCTGCACTCACCCCGAGCTCCACTGGCGGGTTTGATATTAAACGGTGATGTTTTAGTGAAAGTGGTGATCCTTGATGACAACAAGCTCCGTTACAACCATTGTGCCCCAACACGTGCCTGGCTGGGAGCTGCTCCAGCCGCCGGGAGCAGCCGCGGTGGGCACGGAGCGCGGGAGAGCTCTAGCGGCTGCGGCGCACAGCAGAGGGACGGCACCGGCCTGAGCCTGGGGGGCAAGGGGCTGGAAAAGCAAATTGCCCCAGCTCTGGGCTGGGAACAGACTGCTGGACAAGGGGAGGAGGGAGAAGAAGGTTTCGGAGGCAGGGAGACGGTTTTGTTTGAAAATTTATTGAAAAATGCAATACAAGAAGCAATACTGAACACTTACGTCTGCCTAAATGCTACGGCCACTTTCCCTTTGATTTACTATGAAAGTCCAAAATAACAGCTCCCATCGCTATTAATCTATAAAGATTTGCCAATTTTAAAAGTCCCTATTTTTATAAAGAAGAATGTAAACAGCTAGCCTAGACAATTCACAATTGCCTTAAAAAAACTTTACAAAGCTCCTTCATATTCTCAACTAAATCTTTTTTTTTTTTTTTTTTACAAGTTTAATCTCTAAGGTCGGGGCACTACCACCTCTTAAGGTAATTGTACAATTAGGAAATCAGCAAACCACAGTTTATTAAAACCAGAAATCAGTCGGTCCTGTGATAACACCACTGTTGTTCAGAGCTTGCTGTGCGGCAGCCGGCGCTGCCCTTCCAGTTTAATGGATGCGACCAGGTCACGAGCTCCTCGCCTTCCTTTCTATAAAAACATTCATTCATATATAAATAGCTTCCATATAATGTATATTATACAATCAAGACAGTCTCCGGGTGAATTTGTAGAGTGGGAAGAGCTGGGAACGTTCATAAAAATAGACCTTACCGGGTTGTTTTGTCCCTGGGACTAACGCAGCACGCCGGGAGCCAAGTTCTTAAAAGCGCGGTGTAGGAGGAGGGGGTGCCTGGGGGCAGCAGCTGCAGGGAGCTTTTCTCTTCTGCCCAGGCTCTGTCCAGCTGGGCTGGGGTGGCTGTGGGAGAGGGTCCCCCCTGCCATGGGGTCAGATCCGGGGAAAATGTCAGGGAAATGTCGGCTGATGCCCAACGAGCATGGCTAAAGGCTGCTCCAGCGAGCGCACTCGCCCCAAGGAGGACCCCGGGGCCAACTGGTTTGGAACAGGCGAGGAAAGCAGGAACTTAAAAGGGGGGAGTGTGAGTGCGAGTAACGTGGAAACAGCCACCCAAAATAAACGAAAAAAAAAAAGAAAAAAAGGGTTATTCTATTCTATGCCCACTTAAAAAAGGGGCATGCGCGGCCATGGTAAGCACACGTTCCTGCAGCCCTTTGGGTAAGGAGCTGCCGCTGGTGGCAGTGGGTTTTGCAGCCTAGAAAGCTCCCACGTGGGGTGCTTTGCTCTGGTCAGGGCTCAGGACCCCCAGCTGAACACCAAGGGCCAAGCATCAGCCGTGCCCCACGTCCCCCTAAATGCCTGTGCCTGCCAAGTGCCTTTAAGTGCTACGGACAAACTTAATTCACCCCTGGCTTTGTCTGGGAGAGCTCAGAAATCCTCTTAATGGCTGCTCTGCCCTTCACTGCCCATTTACCCATCAGTGAGCGGCTACGGGGCGAGAAGGAGCGAGCGAGTGGCAAAAAATAAAATAAAATCCTAGAAAATGGGCATCACCAGACAGCTGCGCAGTGCGAAGGGTGTTTAAGGCAAGTGTTACCCAACTACGTCCAGGACAGAGCAGAGACACTGACCTAGTAAAGGGTCTGTGGTGCAGGAAAGGAAGCAGAGGGCTGTGCAGGCATGAAGAGGAAGACGTGATCTCCCCCCTGCAGCAGTGGAGCACTGGGCTCCCTAATTCCTGCTGCTTGGGGTGCTCGCAGCGAGGAGAAGGTGCCTGCACGCAGAGGCAGAGCAGTGCAGGAGGGCACCGAGCCCCCCGCGCAGCCACCAGGATGGGAAGGCTGCAGGCCCAGGGGCACCCACAACCAGCAAGGTTCAAGGAAAGCAAAAATCCAGCAGCTCCAGTGTTTTCAGCATGGGCTCCAGTCAATACTGACAGCTTAATTAAAATTGCACCTGAACCTGAGAAGCTACACTCAGCCACAGTGTAGTTCGAAGGCTGTTTTTTTGGCTAAACAGCAAGTCCTTGCAGCCTGAGCTAAATCCAGTGACTTCTGAAAGAAATTATTCAAATTTAAAATAGCAGAGAGCTTTTTTTATTGCCATTTTCTTCCCGTCCTCGACTGAGGAGCAGCAGCGAAGCACTCCACGCCCTCAGCTACCAATGTGCCACACTACATAAAAAAATAAAATAATCACAACCTCAAAGTCTTCACAAGTGTCTGGGCAGACTTTACATATTTTTTCCTTTTTTCTTTTCCTTTTTAAGTGCTGGAAGGAGAAACCAGGGCATGCCCACGAAGCTCAGGAAGCAGCAGCGAGCGCTCAGCCCCGGAGCGGTGGAGGGAAGCGCACCCAGCCCGAGGGGCAGGCGGGGAGAAGCGGTGAGTTTTGGGGTCATCGCCACCTGGCTGGTGACAGCCCCTGCAGGACACTCCAGCAGTGACTGCAGGAAGAGGCCATGATGTGCATTTGTGTGGTTCGGATGGCTGGAGTGTCAACTAAACAAGCACTATGCACTTTTTTTTTTTCCTTTTTTTAAAAAAAAAAAAGACGTTTTGTATGTGGTCTGTAAGCTAAGCCCAAAGATGCAGATGCCAGCCCTGGTATTTCATTCCAGCAACGCGGTCACAAATCCAAACGAAGTACAGACCCTTAAACCAAGAGGGGGTGTCAGCACTTCCCACGTGTGCTGGATTGGCTTTATCACAACCAGCAACACCTGACACCTCCCAGTTGCTTGTTCAGCCTCTCCACATACAGCTTGCAGGCCTAGGGAAGGATTGTCTAAAGGATTTTAAATTAAATGGTAGTAGGATATAACACCTTGCCCTGATATATGGGTAATGTGTTTAGCTTTAAATAAGCACTGGCAAGGGGGAGAAAAAAAAAACACCCAACCCATGACTTACACACAAAAAAAACACATTTAAAAATCAACAAAATTAACACCAACAAGTGAAAAACTATGACACTGAAAAAACTCAGTTACTGTGAATGCTGCATAAGCCTACCTTAATAGCATTCAGAGTCCAAACACCTTAAACACACACTTCTAAGGGCTTTTTAATATAATGGCATCTACAAAACACAAACAGGCAGAGATGCACAGGAGGAAGGTGAGGTGCCTATCACAGTCCCCTTAAAGCTCTAGAATTCACAGTATAAGATACTCGAAGCAACTTCCAGTATTCCTTAAATCTAGCCAACTATTAATTTGTGTGCATATGCTACACCACACAACCCTACTGCGTTCAAACATCGGGGTCCGAAACCCAAAGGTAAGGAAACTCAAAGTGAAGGTAGAAGCTCTGGGTGCCCCCGTATCCCGGCTGGAGTCTCAAACTCCCTAGAGCTAAAAATCAAGAGGCAAGTGGAAATGCTGCACAAACTCAAGTCCGACCTTTTAAACTGACTCTTCTGGCAGAAGGACCCATTGCTTTATGAACACGAGCACAGATTCTGCGCTCGGGCTATGTGTTGGTGTGGCTTATCTCCATTATACCTGACAAGGCTGAGGGAATAAGACTTAAAAACAAAAGGAACACAAAACCAACCCTTTGAGCCCTGCAGTTCATGTTTGGGCCTGTATCTGAAGAGGCTATGCGTGAGAGGGAATGCAAAATTGAAAACCTGTAAAAAATATTCAGTACAGTTAGAAATATGGCATACTGTTTGTCACAATATATATATAAAAAAGAACTATATCCAAGAGGATCCAGTGGATTCTGGAAAATCACAAGTAAAATGTCAAAGCGCAACTCCTAATAAATGATATGAATGTTCAGTCTCTGAGTGTAAAGTCTTGTAAATCCGAGGTCTTTGTGCTCCAGGTAGTTTTTCTGTAGTTTTGCTGGGTTTCTTTTTCCTGGTGTTGTCTGGAAGGAACGCTTCCTAGGAAGAGAAACACAGTAAGTTACAGCTTCTAGCAACCAACTCTCTGTGAAAGAGCTGAACACACTTCCCTGAAGCCATCGGAGAGCTGGGAACAAAAGATGGGCTACTGCCAGTGGCACAGAGGCCAGGCTCAGCGCCTTTCCCCAAAGGGCCAATGTTGAGAGCTGCAGCTCCAGGAGCCCTTAGAAAACCCCTGTCATTTTTGTTAGAGTTTGTAGAGAGTTAAAAGGTGAAACCACAGTGCCTGTTAAATGACTTGCTCTTTCCTCTCTCCTAACTTGTTCCCGTTCCACTTCCCAAGCCTGCGAGCAGCAGCTTTGTCTGCACAAGGGCACCAACACCACCGGCACACAGATGGAGCTGGAGTCCCCAGACTCTTTCCCCAAACCACCAAGCTGCAAAGTGACCTTCAGAGCACGTCAGGAGCAGCAGGATGGGGTGGCCCCACTGCCCGGAGCTGACACGGGCAGGGGTCTCTGTGACAGACAGGGTGCTCCTGAGGTATTGGAGGTGGCCGGTGAGATCCAGCAGCCTCATCACGCACGTAGCTTCTTTTAGACCTTTTTTTTTTGGCTGACTTCCACTGCAGGATTAGTCTGCATTTGTGACTGCTACATCAGCCTTAAATGATTTAGTAGGAACAGTCTGAGCAGGAGCCGTCAGTGAACAATAATAATTTTAGGTAAATTTTGACCACATTGAGCCAAACAGCACTTGCACTGAGCTCCAGCTACCTGCCCCAAGGAGAAAACAGCACCTGCCCTTTCTTTGTGCGTTGTCCCCTACTTACACAGCCTTGCTACTCCTCTGCAATCTCGGTCTCCTGGTGCACGACCACTTTGGTCACCGACATATCTGGGTGCTGCTCCTTCGCCGCTTTTATGGCCTGCGCTAGCACCTGCAAGAGACCACACGTCAGAGAGGTGCCAGAGCCCGCACGACAGCAAGGGTACTCGAGCTCACGAGATGCTTTCTAACTCCAGGGAGAGAAAAAGAAAAGCAAAACCACTTCAGCTGCACAGTTTGGAAGGAAATGTGGCTTTCTGCTTAAGCAGGCTGCAAATACTTAATTCCTCCTAGGAGTAAAGGCACGGCAGGAATAAATGCTGAGCCGAGAATTAACAGGTCCTGAAGACTCCTGGTCCCAGTGGGAACACAAGGCAAGGAGGAAACTGCTGCAATCACTGGGTAATTTTGGATCCACACACATCGACACTATGGGAATTAAAGCCTGGCCATGAACTTCAAGCAGAGGACGCGTGCCATCGGGCTGTGCTGGGGAGTCCTGGCACGCAGCGGGCAATGTGCCACCGCAGCACGAGCTGGGTCCTGCGGAGAGGACAACTTGCAGTGGCACTGGGTTATTTGTGAAAGGCAGGATGGTTTTCTAAGAATACATCACATCTCTCAGCTGCCCCATCCTAGAAGATAGATGGGAGCAATTAAGCCAACTGTTTATTCTTCCAGCAAGTGTGACTAGCACATTGAGGCTGTTCTCAGACATCTTCTGTCAGAATTAATTAACTAGTTCTTGTCGTACAAATATTTTCCAGGCCCATGATACTTGCAACTAAAATTAAATTCAAAGTATAATTCTCTGATGACAAAATCATCACTTCCAACACATGCTAGAGGCCAGTGAGGCTGACTCATCACAAAGGCTTTCATATAAAGCCTGCGAGATTTAATGCAGGCATCTCCTACCCAGTGCTAAACACGGGTGGTGCTGAGGGCTATGCCGTGACGTCTGGCACTACACTGCAGCAATCCTGCTTCAAAGTTCGTAGAAAATGTATGCAGATAATCCAGATGTCAAGGAAAACCTTTATTTCACATTCTTGCAGATATTTTTAAATCGCATTTTTCCAAAACAACTCTTGTATTAAAAAATTGTGCCAATACCAGCTTCGGAGCAGAATTAACCTTTGCTGGTCCAGCTACGAAACTGCGTGCAGACAAAAAGGAATTTATTATTGAAATCAGTTTTGAAGCTTTATTTCTACTCCAGAAAAATGTCCCTAGCTTGTTTTCTGTTAAAAGTTATTTTCAGAAAGGCAGTCTGGCTGTCTGGTTTGTGCCAACTCTGAAAAGCTCTTTTGAAATGCGCCCAAGCTCCTACCTGGTCGTGGTCTACATCTGCATCTCCTGTGATGACAATCCTCTTTTCAATCCGCGTCTCTGAAATGCCACCTTTTACAGTCTAGCACAGAGGGAATACTACTGTTAGTCGAGAAGGGAACAGGAATACAAGTGCACTGGGGCTGCCTGTCTAAAGATGGTATCCAAAAATAGCATTACCAAATACTGCTGGCATACCACAGTATCAGCATCACGGAGGAAAACTGCCACCACTCATAAAGAAAAGCTGTCAGGTATTCAATGATCTCCTCTTGTAACTGAGCCGGTGAGGAGCTTTGACTCAGTACATTTCTCTCCTGCTGTCCCACAGGATGGCTACAGCCATGTCCAGACCTGACTCCACTTAATACATAACCTACAGTCTTAATGCATCAGAGGCAGTTCTGGGATCCTTGGGCTTTGTTATAGATATTAATCTCTTTTTTTATTTTTTTAAAGGAACTGGAGCTTAAACTTTTTTTTTTCCTATTACTCAACCTTGCCCTTGTTGTTTTACTTTATTGTTTTATTTTTGTCGTCACTGTTTTATCGCGTTCCCTGGCTGTTACCTTAGTGATCTGCGTGGTGGTGGTGCTGCTGGTGGTTTCTGAAGTGATGGTTTGAGCAGTGAGCAGGATGCCAGGGTCTAAATCTCCATTGCCACCATCCGTCTGTGGGAGACAAAAGAAGAGCCCGTCAGCCTCCATAGGCAGCGTGGACTGAAACAAGGCTTCACGTCAACAGAGCAGGGTGCAACCTGAGGATAAAAACTCATCTCAAAAGCAGCCTGCAGGATTTATGAGATGAAAGGACCCGATCTGCAGCTGGCTGCACTGCTCTCAGCTGCACAGGACCCCTCTTGGGTCTCTGGAGACTCAGCCCCTTGGACCCACCAGCAGTGGTGCAGGAGGAGCTACTTCCCACTGGGTTGTACTTCCAAGCAACATTTGATTTGGAAGGAATTTCTTTTTCCCCTACCCTTTCTCCTTCCTGCCACCACCTTGTACATCACTTACTTCAAGCTCTGCAGAAGCACTGACTTAAGCTACTGCCAAACTACAAACAATTGGTTTTGGAGCTGGTTACTTGGTTCCCAGTTTGCACAACTCGACTTCTCAAGGTCTGCCTAAAAATCCCAAAGTCCTCTTTGCTAATCTGCCCTGGCTCTGCTGTCTGTGTCTCCCTAGGAGGGAAGGCACAATATCCATGAGCAGCCGGTACCTGGAGTTACCACAAGGTGGGACCATTGTCCACAGGCCAGGAGAAAGCTAATGGCACACCACAACCCACACACGGCTGACTTCTCCAAGCCCTGGAAACTCCCTTTTAGTTGTCGTTTCCCTGGAGTAACAGCAGTAACCAGAACAAAGCTCCTCTACCTCTCATTTCACCTGCTGAGAAATCAGGCAACACGCTGCTGTCCCACACAGATGCCCAAAAGCCTGCTGTGCTCCTGGGCTTGGGGACAATCGACACCACTGGAACATCTGAGCTACGCAGAAGCATGAACAGTATCTCCAAGTAACAATGTTTTTTTTTTTTTTTCCTTTTAAACCATTAAGAGCACAGTTTTGGAGATGCTTCTCTAAGCACCCAGCGAGAGCTAGACCCTTCCACAGGGCCAGCTGCTATGTCCAGTGCACACCACAGGCAGCAGAAGTGTTGGTGCCCAGCCTTGTTCTATTCCTCAGCACCCAGTATTTTGCCCTCCTCAGGAATCCCAAATCATACAAAAGTGGGCCATGGGGTATCCAAACCTGAACCTAATCACCATGTCCTACAGTCACTACACGCCAGCACCATGGGCTGCTTTGAACAACCACAGTTCAGACAAAACCAAGCTAATAAAGGATCCAAATTCTCAATACACAAATGAAATCTATTTTATACTGAAGATTAAAATTGACCTTAGCAGTGAAACCATACCTGCATGTGCTGGTATTGCTCCACTAGCATTTCCAGTTTCCAGTCACTGCAGAGATACCCACTCCGATTATCGCTTTCTGCAATATTTTTGTTTTTCAACACCTGTTTCAGTGCTGAAGCCTCAGGGACAATCTTCAAACATTTTCAAACTCGTTTATAAACAAAGTTCTTAAGAGGCATAAACAGCAAGGAGAGCTGGGGAAAACAAGCCAAACCATCTCTTGCAGAAAAAAGGCCAACTCAGGCCAGCTCTGCAGAGCCTAATCCACATCCCAAAGCAACCAGTGGCTGAAGATAAATTCTGTTTGCAAACACACACCTCGAAAAAGTAATTACAGCTCTTGAAAAACTAATTACACATCTTGGAAAAGTAATTACTCTCCAGGGATAATAAAAACACTGCCACTCTAAAAACATCAGATGCACCTGCAAATACTGTCCATGGGATTTGTTCACCTCTGTGCTGCGCCTCGGACGTGCAGAGAAAGGCAGGTGGTAACAGACGGGGCTCCTGTCTCACCCAAAGGCTTCAGATACACTTGGATGAGTTTAATTAAGCCCCTGGAAAATTAATCCAAACACACCTTACCTGTGCAGCTTCGTAGGTGATGGTCTTAGTCTCCGTGTGAACGATGGGGACTTCTTTTGTTGGAATTTCGCTTTTGACAGCATTGGACACGTCGGAGATGGTGACTGTCTGTGTCTTCACTAGGGGCGGCTATGGAACAGGTTAAAAACAGCTCAGTGAACACCCGGGAAGCGTCCCCACAGAACTGTGTGGCTGGCAAAAGTTCTGACACTGATCTGATAAAAGCACTGCGGGAACCCAGGTCAGCCCGGAGGCTTTATTTCTAAGCCTCTGGTCGACACACTTCCAAAGTCAAAGATCACGTGTGAGGATTAAACAGACAGAAATCCTCTGCACCCTCCCAAATGCCACGGCCTCAAGGCAGCCCAACAAAGGCATTAAGGCTTTAAGCCGTGTGTCACAATACCGTGAGGAAACTGTCTCCACTGATCATTAACTTTCTAATTACTAGAAGCCCATTGCCAGCTGCCAGTAAGAGATGCCCCTCGTTTACTGGTATGTTAAGATTATCACAAACCCTGGACAAATGAAGACTTGCTCACAGCTGAGAAGCTTTATCCTGGCTACACGGGAAACCCTTATTAAAAACCCTCATCGCTTCCTAGGTCTTTAACTTTTATTAAATCAATGTCAGACAAAACAGAAACGTGACATCTCGGAAGAGAAACGGGGTGTGGGGGGGAGAGAAATCAGTTGTTCCACCACCTGATAATCATCCAAAGGAAGACAGAGTTAGTTCAGACCCACGGTGCTTTCCCAGATCACTCCAGTTCTGCTCACCGGCCCCAGCCTGACAGATGCCACCGTGATTGTTAGCGGGGTGAGCGGACACCTCTATCGAACGTAAGCGATTAACCGTCAGGAACACTGAAGCAGGCAAAAATATCTCCCACGGTGGGGAGCACAAAGGGACGTCAAAGCCCACGGCTGCGATGTGAAAGCGCGCTTGACAGCGCTTCAAATTTGCTCTGCTGCACTACGGCTCAGCCTTGCAGTGCAGCAGGAGACAGCAAAATCCTTAAGGAGCTAAAATTGCACGCCCCTGGAGCCTCAACGATTCCCTTCTGGGGGATATGCCGGGACACTTTCATTGAAAAAGGCAAACGGCGTTGCGCCGAGGCAAGCCTTGTATTTAATGCAAAAATAAATTGAGAGGGGCTCGTGTGCAGCGACTGCAGGAGGTTAACCGGGTAATTAGCTCCAAGAAAGAGTCCAAGTAAGCGAAACTCCTCTTTGTGGGTGCGTGGCATCTGCTTGCTGCAGTGTTTGTTTGGGGTCCCAGCCCAAAGCCAAACGGGGAGGTTTGGGAGAGAGCAGGCGTCGGGGCTCACTACCTGGAAGCAGCGAATGACCGCCGGCAGCCCGTTATTAACGCTCGAGTCGGGCCGCTCGCCATTTAGCTTTCTAAGCGGCTCTCCCACAAAATTGTCTTCGCCATCCTCTGCCACCTCCTCTCGTCCCCAGGGCTGCGGCGGAGGGGCAGCAGGGACTGCTGCGGGCTCCAGCTCAGGCAGCTCTGAGTCAGCCACCTGCTTTTCCACGGCTGCACAAAGCCCCTCGGCGCAGCTCGGGTCCTCCTGGCCCTCAGGGAGGCTGGGGGCAGCCTCCTCCTTCTCCTTCTCCTCCTCCTCCTCCTCCTCCTCCTCGTCCTTCTCCTCCTCGCTGCTTATGGAGGAAGCGCCAAAGTCACGGCTCGGAGAAGGCTCTGAGGCGGGTGGCATTTGGGTCTCACTAAAAGCTACCGACTGCTTTGGGCCCTCCCATTCAAAGCCAGTGTTAACACTTTTCCTCTCTGGCACTGCAGCCACATCCTCTCTGGAGAGAAAGTCACTCATATTCTAAAAAGAAACGAATACACAAAAAGGCCAGAGAGAGAGAGAGAGAAAGAGAGAGTTAGGGAGAACAGAAGGTCATGAAGCATCAAGACAAAACATCGGTCTCTTATAATACATCACATCTCCAGTAATGCATGCACCAGCAGCGGGTCTTGAACATTTCAGAGCTTGACAGCCTTTGTGACACACGATGGATCCGGTGGATTTACTGCCACAGCCCTCCTGGTGCATTAGTAACCCATGGTCTGAAGGTTTAAGGAATTAACATTAAAACGACACTCTACACCTAAATGAAGAACCATCACTGCACAGTTTTTGCCCAGTTTGGATACAGGAATAATTTCAGTGTAGCAAGCAGGGGCCTTTGTGCACATCCAAAATTCACACGTGCAACAAAACTCACCAGCTACACTGAAACCATACACCAATGCTGCTTTCAACTCTTTGAAATATTTCATGTTGTGTTTTAATTTGCACATGGAGAGCAAGAGAATAAACCCAGAATTATTGTGCACGACCAATCTGCAGAGCCTGTGCTTTGCTGTCTTCCTGTCACCTGGGAACACACCTCTGAGCACCCTGTTTGCTGCTGCAGTCTCTAGGATAACACAGCCATGCCTGCAAAAAGTCGTAATGGCAAAATTATTGCAAGAATTGGTATTGAAATCAACTGATTCTGTTACCAAGAGGGTCCCGAGCTGGTGATGCAGCCTGGTCAGCTGAAAGAAATGGTACTGCTTCTTCTAGACAAGCCAGCTCCACGAACCTGCACAGCTTAGCACAAAAGTTTTCAGCTGAGGAATAAAGAATTGGGGCTTGAAACTGGAAAGCCAGACGTTGACAGTGATGTGTGCTGGTGCTGACCCCATCACCACCAAGCGTGCAGTTCTCAGCTGCATTTAACCAGTTATTTGGGGCTACTGAAGTATTTGTGCCATACTTTATCGCAAAGCAGTTGGTGCAGGGAAACCTTTGCCATAGCTAAACCTCCTGAAGGTACAACACAATTGGCATTTGTGATGGTGCACGGTTAAGAAGATTGGTAATAAAACAACCCAGCCTTCCGAGAAGCAAGCAAGCATGTCTATAGCACCTGAGGTATTTTAGAAGAGTGCCAAACCCGAGGGTTCAGCTAAGGCTGGTGCTATGCTGCCTTCCATTCAGCTCCTTAGTTCTCAACTAGGTCTTCGCACATCTCTGGGAGCCCTCTAGCCAGAAGGGAAGCAACAGTGACAAAAGAGAAGAGAAGGGTTAAAACATGAACAAGACAAAAAGCTTTAGCAAAAATCAGCTGTTTGCCCAAGTGGTGAGTACTTAATACACACTAATTCTCAGAGAGAAGCAGCATTTTTGGCACAAGCTGTGAATGACGGCTCCAATCCTGCCATACCCTAGAAATTGTGTTTCTCTCCTTATTGGCACGGAAAGCTGCCTTTAAGGCAGGGCAGAACAGCAGTTATCGACACGTACTATTTTAGACATACCAAAACTGCTGCCTCATCCAGCGTCAGGCAACAAGGAGGAAAGAACCCAGAAGGACGCCACTTCAATCAGTGCTAATTACTGCTTCTTATCAATAATTGACAGCCTCATGGATGATTTCTGGGAACTTTGTATAAAAACAGCCACATATCTGTACATCCAAAAACAGTGATTAAATTTTCATTAAAGTATGGCAATTCTGTCATCGTCAACTTTTATCCTAATTCTGTGGTGGTATTAAGATGAACAAAAACTGTTGCATCATTTTCTATTACAAAGATTCTCTGGGCAACCAAAAAATAATGTAATGTGCACTTAAAATACGGGATCTGAAGCCTGTGGGTTATTTGGTACAAAGCATCTTCTGTACACCAGAAGCTTTCACCCTGACTGTCCTCATCTAGTGACACAGTTCAATAGTATTTTAGGAATTGTAACTGCTTTATGTAGGAACAAACAGATGCTTTTTTTTAGTAACATTTCAAGAAAGGACTCTTCCAACATTCCTCCAGGAACTTTGCAGTGCCCAGCTTCTTTAACGTTCCTTATGTCAGGTTCTGTATGTTATGATAGATTACCTGTAAGATTTCTGTCCTTTAGGATTTCCAGCCTCTTTGGCTTCTGTTAAGTTCCTGGGCTAGGAAAATGCATTTAATAGGAGTGAAGTTACAGCAATTAGCACTGTGATGATCAGATCAGACTACACACATATGGGAGTGCTATTTCGGAATGAAAACCACTTCCATATGTTCTCCTCCATAAGGTACGCACAGATCCTACCCTCATTTTGCCTGACACAAGATACTATCCTGCAATGTTTCCCAGAACAGAGAACGAACTGAGGTTATGAAGTTCGAATTCCCATGACTTAACCATGCTATAAAACCTGGATTTATGTGCTGTCAATGTCTCTGACAATGTGCCTGATGTCTCCTAATTCTGTGTGTCACAGCTTGCAAAGTAAGCAGGGCATCTTGAGAAGATATATTACGTCTTCTGCAGTTTAATGGCAAATAAATGCCTTAGAAGCAAGATTTCCTTACATACCAGCTAGGGCACTACTTCGGCCAAGAGGCAGAATGAAATCCACAGTTAAAACAAAGCAGATTAAGCAGCTATAAAAACACGGGGCTGTTTAAGAGACAAACATTTGCATACAATAAAAACAACCTCCCAACTCCCTTTCGTACACAGAAAGTAATTTGCATTTGAGAAGCATCTTGCAGAGTAAAAGCACGGAGGAGCAGAAAAGCTTGAATGAAGCCTGTGGTGTGGATATACTGGTCTTCGACAGAGCACAGCGCAGCAATAAACATGCAGACTATAAAGACAGAAGGAAATCCTGATAAGATCAACTGACCAGAAGCACTTTTTTCTTGCCTTCCTATGCCACCATTAAGAAGACAAACTAATTAAAAGCTAGTTCTTTCTACATGTAATTATCTATTTATACACACTTTTTCTTTTCCCCTTTATTTATTTTTTTTAATACAACTATGTTTGTACCTATATTTCGAAACGCAGTTTACACGTAGGCTAAAAAAGATCATTGCACACCAAAACCAAACCACCAACCCAGCTCTCCAGGAATTTCAACCTCTGTTACAAATTCTGATCTTATCAAGATTTTTTTTTTCAATTTGCAAATGCAAAAGCATTCCTACTTTCAAGGCTCAGATTTCCAAGTTCTCCTTGAGACCCATGAAACCTGGGAGTGCCTGGGCTGCAAACTACTCATTTCCAGAGAAACAAAACCAAACCAGGTACACCTAAATCAAACACGAAGCAGACTACTTGCATAAGCCATACGCAGTGTAAAGAAAATACAGGACAGGATGCAGTGCTCCAGAAGAAAAAAAAATCAACCAAACACGAATGCAACTAAAACTTTACCCTGCTAAATACAAATCTTGGTGCACCCAATGTTGGCAAATACTGAGCATACAGGTTATTTAAAGTTGTAGTGTAAAAAGTGGCACACGGTAACTCAGACTGGGGATAAATTAATAACAGGCTTTGATACCAGATACTGAAAGGATTATTTTTGAAGTATTTTTGCATAAAGTTATGGTTGCCTGTATTTTTTTTAATTAATTTAATTTTTTTTTATTTTTTTTTTTAGAGAACCTGCTATTTCGGATGGGGATATAACCACATGAACCAGCTGCCCTGACCACGCTCCTCGCGCTGCCAGGGACAATTTCCATTTCCTTGCTCTGCTTCTTTCCTCTCCCAGAAGAACTCCTGCAGGACTGCTGCTGCAGCTCGTGCTAGCATGCTGCTCTGCTGCCCTTCTCCCTGCAACACTTCGATTATCCTCAGCCCCAAAGAGATTCCAGTCTCACTGGAAACTTAAGGATCGCCAAAATGAAGTCAACCTGTCAATTACCAAAGACAAGTTAATAAAAATTATTAAAAATATTAAATGGCAATGCGTGCTAACTCCATACAACAACCACATCCAATGCTGTAAATCCTAATTAGTATTTCCCATTGCTTTCTTCTTCAGCAGGGTGTTGCAGCAGTTAACGCTGGTGCATGTTATTAGGTTATCCCCAAACAAGTATGCACATAAGCTGACAGGCTCAGTGTGACGTCTACAGATGCACGAGTAGATGAAGTTGCTTTTGCAGCAAGCCACACTCACCAGTAAGAAATCCCAGATCAAATGGTGAACGCTCAATCTCACAGCTGTCAAAGTACTTGAGTAAAAAGTATTATCAAGCAGAACACAAGATATCCTTATTTTACAGTACCTGCTACGTCTTAGAGAATTTCTTTGCCTTAAACATAGAAGTAAAAAAGTTTAGAAGCCATTCAACAAAAGTTTGGCATTTGAAAATGACATTACCCACGGATTTGCATTTTGGGGCAGGTTTTTCAATTGCCATTGATCTGATTGCAACGTCCTGACCAGCCCGGTCAGACAGCAGAAAGAGAAGAGAGAATTTAACTTAAGTTAAAGGTAAGCCTAGAAAATACAGATCATACTTTAAGCTTAATGAAAGGGTTATATTGCTGTCATGAACAAGAATCCCAAGAAATTACATGACACAGCAGCCCCTTCCTATGCACTGCATCAACTGCTTTGCAAGATGAAACAACCTCCAGATCGATGCTTAAGTTTCCACAATCCAGCTGCTGAAGAATACATTTCCAAAAGCACTTCCCTCTTCCCTCCACCCTTCCCATCCCTCCAGGTGCCAGCCCCCCTCACACAGAGCCGTGTTTTGCTTGGCTCAAATTCCCTCAGCAGAGAAAAAGCTGCGGGTGGCATTCCAAACGCTGCCTCGGATTTGGTTTAGCAATGGGAAACAGAGTGAGGACACTGTCAGGGCTTATAACCGACAACATTTCTGTGCTGCTGCATTTTGCCTGCCTCGTTTGGCAACGTTTGGGCTCTGCTCTGATGCAGGCTCATCGGGAGGGCACAGCAGAGCTGGTGCTGCTCCGGCATGGCCAGGTTTGCTTCTCCATGACTGCTCAGAGCAAGAGAAAGCTGAACAGTTCAGCCAAAAGTA